GAGGCCCCTTGGAGGCTTCTTGGGGCGCCTTGGGGCCTCGGGCGTCTTGGGTGCTCGGCGGCCGCTTGGGACCTTCTTGGGGGTCTCTTGGGGGCCTCATGGGGCCGCTTGGGCGCCTCTTGGGGCCATCTTGGGGCCATCTTGGGGCCTTCTTGTGGCCTTCTTAGGGGCCTTGGAGGCCTTCTTGGCAACATTGGAGGAGATCGATCAAAGAGGGGTGGTGGTACTTCATCAGCGTCGCTCTTCTGGAGCTTCCAATGTCGCCTCTTGAGGCATTTTCGGATCGCTCTCGGGGCGCTCTGGACTCTCTTGGGGCCGTCTTGGAGTCATCTTGGGTCTCGTGACCTTTCCTCGTGTCAGCGAGCGGAGGCAAAGCAGGAGCGAACGCATCCACGGCCGTTGTGGTTCAGGGCGTCGACACCCGGATATGATCACCCAGTATCATGACATGACATTCGTTATTTTTGCGCAGAGGATAATATGTGATGTGCTTCTACTTCAGTCCCAGGGCCTACCTCGATGGCGTCTTTTCTACTTGGTAGTGGAGGTGGTCATACACTTGTGTGGCTAGGTCTGTGGCTTGCAGTTCTCCGCGGCACAATATGGACATCCCACTTGGACTACCACGTGCCGATGTCCCTTCGGGGAGTAGAGCTGGGAAGTTGGCGCATGCAACCTGGCAGCGGGTCAGCACTCAGAAATGAGGTTATATCCAGCATTGGGTTTATTGATACCAGTACATCGGCTCCTACTACCAACCAAATGCCTGCTTCGATTGTAAGCACATGCAGCAGCTTTGCGACGCTTTCGATGATGAAGGCCTCATTGTTGTCTGTCGCTTCTTCGAGCGCCCTGGCCACAGCTGCATGGAAAATGCCAACAGGTATTTGCTCGTTCAAATGTGGTCACAATTGTCGATGTGCCTCGCCAACACCTCTTTCCCAACCCTCCGGTGTTGGGTTCACGTTTTGAATAGAGCAGTGTGGTCTCCACCCTCCTTCTCCCGCCTCCTCGCTCCTGTCTTCTGTGCTCTCGTGCCGTCTGGTTCCCGATTCCTGCCTCGCCGTCTTGTCTGTTGGGTGGGCGTGCCTGAGGGTTGCGACACTTTCGTGGGCTCCTGGGAGGCCCAGCGGAGGTACGTCATACGCAGATCACCACTATAGCTCGCGGTGCCCTGGGGGGCTGCGATCTGCGAAACTGTCCGCACTTTCGTGGGTTCCTGGGAGGCCCAGCGGGCGTACGTCACACGCGGACCACTTGGAAACCTCGCCGCCCCCTGGGGGGCCTGCGATCTGCGAGACTGTCGGCACTTTCGTGGGCTCCCGGGAGGCCCAGCGGAGGTACGTCATACGCAGATCATGCATGGGGGTGGGGCGGGCTCGGGCGCCAACGAGGTTGAGGTGGGCGGGCCCTAGGCCGTCGGGTTTAGGGCTAGGCCAGCGGCCGCGGGCCAGGGGCGTGGGCGCCGAAGGCCCAGGACCTCAGGCCCTAGGCCGAAAAGCGTCATGGCGCCCCTTGCCCATCGGCGCCGCGTCCCCGGGCTGTTCCGCTCATGCCGGGGGTCCATCGTCTACGCCGCCCCGGGGCGTCAATGGAAAGGGCGAGGGGGAGGCGCCCGCAGGGCGTTCGGGGTAGGGTTCAGGGTCTAGGGCCCACAGGGCCCAGACTCTAGGGCCCACGGGTCTGGGTGCTTCGGATGGGGGCCTGCGGCTTGGGGGCTCAGGGCGCGGCATCGAGCCCGTGGCGTAGGGCGCTGGGCGTGGGGCTCAGGGCGCTGAGCCTGCGAATGCTGCGCCTTGGGCCTGGGGCCTTAGGCCTCAGGCCCCGCGGGCGCAAGCCACCTGCTTTGATTGCAGGTTCCGCGTCCAGCGCCTCTCTTTTCAACGCGGCCACGATCGCCGAGGCTATGTTTTCGAGATCGGGTCATGGGGGCGTCCACGATGCGACTCGCTCGCTGGGGCGCGCCGAGCAAACGCCGCTTCGTCCCGATGGGGTTCCCGGATCGTTGTCGGCTGCCTGGAGTCGGCGCGCGCAGCGCTCTCCGGCGCCAATGCGTGCCGTCGCCGAGACGCCCGCCCAATCCGACCGTCTCAAGCAGCGTTGGCGATGGCCTCCATCGCAGACGTGCGCGGTCTAGCTTCGCAGAGCCCGCTGCCCCCCCCCATCTGGCGCCCGCCCGCCACGTTGCCGCGATAATCGTCGCGCGAGACCCGTGTCCGGTGGCGGCGCGCCATGGCGGCCCGAGTCGCAGATCCCCCGGGCGCGAGAACGCAAGCCCAGCCGAGGGCGCGCCGCTGGCCCATCGGATGTCCGCGTGGGGCGCGCCCGAAAGAATCCTTTTTTTTCAGGCGTCGCATTGAGAGGGCGAACCGGGGCGCCCTCGCCGACGTCGCGCCGCGCGCGCAACCTCGCGCGCGCGCGCAGCCCGCCCCGGCGCGGCATCGCCTTAGAAGTGCAATGCTCTCGCCGTTTCGACGCGCCGTCGCCGCTCGCCCCGTCCAGCCCGCCCCGCCCACCTCCCACCGCCGCCGCGCGTCATTCTCCCCCCATAACCTGCGCCGCCCGCCCGCCGCCGCCCACCCGCCCACCGCCGCCGCCACCCTCCCTCACTACCGCCATCCCCCCCCCGCCCGCCCGCCCGCCCTTCCCCCGCCTACCCTTGCGCCCCTCCCCCACCGCCAGTGCGACGTGTGTGTGTGTGTGTGTGTGTGTGTGTGTGTGTGTTGTGAGTAAATGACAACTCTAGGAATGCGTGGCAGCCCGACGCAACTTGTTCTGCCGAGCTGCAATGACTGCCCACGCCGTCCCCACTTGAAAGGAGGGGGCCCGCGGCTTGCCATTCGCCCGCCCGTGCATTCGACGCGCGTGAACTGTCGCTGCGGGCCTGCCCGGCAAGTGTCTGACAAGCGCCTCATTCTTGCGACGCGTCGACCCCGTCTGGGCGGCCCTAATTTCATCTGGCCATGTGGGCCCCCCGCCTAATACAAGTGGGCCCTCGTGGTTTCTTGCGCGCGCGCTGCGCGTCGCCCGGTGGCCCCCATGCATTCCGATTGCGAACCATTAACCCACGTGCCCCCCCCCCCATCGCACCCGCCGGCGGTCGAAATTCAGAGAGGCACGCGCGCACTTAACGCGAGCGTGAACTACGCACAGGACTTGTCAAACCGAACAACGAGAAACCTCAAACCTTCCATTCGGACACTGCGCCGCCGCCGACGACCACCGCATCAACAATCGCCGTGTCCCGCACTATCACCAGTGTGACCGCCGTATTACCCATCACAACGACACCGAGGCATATGATTTCACAACCTAGTTAATGCATTCCTATCACGCATCGCTGCAGCGAGGCGCCATCCCCCATATTGCTCGCTCCAAGAAGCACTGCCACCTTCCGCTGGCGTGCATCTGCTTCGCGTCATCATGGACGCTGCGCCCAGGCGTCGGCACTAACCGCGCGCCACTGCGCCTATACTAAGCTGAGCAACGAAACCCAACTCGCCCCCGTGACGCGGCGCCCAAGTAAAACGCGACGAAGAAGACCATGCGTCAATGGCTTGCGCCGCCCTTGCCCTCTGATTTTCTCATGTGTCCCTGGTGAATTAGGCCGGCCCCGATGTCTCCCCCCAGCATCGAGCGCTGCAGGTTGCCCGAGAGCCCCCCCCCTCAGCAAAGCCGCTGATTTTCCCGTTGTAAGCTTCCAGAGTTAAGGTTTACTGGCCAGCGCAACCAGAACAGTTCGGCAGGGCTACGTACATTACTCCTCGAATATTGCACTGCGTACATGGCACTTCTAAGTTGCGTCACGTATACCTGACCAGGTATATATCACCTCGTAGCCAGTAGGATGTAGCCACATCTGGACATCATGTGAATCGTCTGAGGGTTCGCATTGGCAGTTGTAATGCGAGCTGGCCGTCGGCGCGTGGGTCTTCGCAGAGAAGTGGCGTTTGGCGAAGAACCCGACCGCGTGCGTGCCGTCTAAGAGGCTGCCGCGCCATTAGTGTCTGCTCCAGTGCCACACCCGCTCACGCTTGCGTTTCTTGCGTTGTCCATCGACGGTCGTTTTTTTTGTTTTTTGTTTTTTTTTTTTTGGGGGGGGGTTGCATTTTGCAGTGCCTATTCTGCGAAGGGCGCCGTCCGTTCGCGAGTGTGCGACCTGTGCTGGCCCATGCGTATTGTCATTCTCGGAATGAGATTGATTTCCAGTCAAGTGCTTTGGGGTTGGACGGAATGCCTTCCCTATGTGGCCCCCAAAACAACAGTTCAGCGCATCTGTTCGTTGCAAGCGCTCGTTGGGGGTAGATTTTTGATATGTGAAGAAGAAAGGCGCCGCCAAAGATGTGATCGTATTTCTTGTCAGCGAGGGTCTTGCGAGAGCGTGGAGAGAATTGTTGCTTTGGTTTCGCCGCGTCTGTGGGGCCAGATTTTCGTTCTGAGTCTGCAGGGGCCAGGTGTTTGGCTGCCGGAGAGATATTGGCCCTTTGCGGCAGGCGATTGATTGCCCCGATCAGGATTGCATTCTGTTTGGAAAGGCGTTCTTGTGGTCTGAGAAGCCATAGTTCGTTTGTTGGCCTATCGTCTTTCCATTGCCCGCGGCTGCTCTCAAGCCGTTTTGGCTTTCGACGGCCCGAAGGCCTCCGGCGTCGGCGCGTCGTCCAGGGGCGGGCGAGGGGGTGGCGAGTTGCGCGGCTGGGCCCGAGTGAGGTCTCCAGCGGTCCTGGACATCCCAGATGCGACTGAGGGCGACGATCGTCAGGCCGAGGGTGGGAAATCCAAGAGTGCCGAGCCCTGGATCGGCGAAGGCGCGCGCCCGAAGAAAGCTCCGAAGCGGGCTCCTCGTGTTTCTTCTGCGCGGGGCCGCAGTTGAGGGCCGTCGTCGTCCGTTCGCGCGTGCGGCAGGGTCTCTCGTGGAGCAGTCCCGCCCCTGAGAAACCGTTTCCAGACCCGCCCGTATCTGCCCGCGGGAGGTGCCGCGTCCCGCGGACTGGCTGGCCGAGGTCTTACAGGGGGATGAAGGGCGACAGCGCGATGGATGCGCCATTCGAGGCGACGGCGGCGCCAGCAGAGGATGCGCGCGGGAAGGGCGTCGACGAGGAGGCCGTTGACGTCGTTTCGGGAGTCGGCTTCAAGATGGAGACGCATTTCAGGATGCAAGATTCCGATCTTCGTGATGCCGCCGATGTACCAGCCGACGTCGACTTGAAGGATCTGTCGCTGACCAGCAGCAGCTTGAAGATGCCAGTCGGATGCAGTTGCAGCGGGATCGTCGCAATCAGCCCCGACAAGCCTCGCGTGGACATCGCCAGGATTGAGGAGCACTTCGTCGAAGGTCGGGTTCGGGCGCAGAGTTCTGAGCGCCATCTCTACAAGGGGCAGGCGGATAAGGTATTCAAGAAAGCGGTCTCCAACATGAAAGCTTCGATGCCCACCGTGATGCGTGGTAGGAATTCTGCCCCGACAATCGATTCCATCAAGTTCGAGGTTGCGATGAAGACAGGTGCAGGTGCCGATGCAAGCTCGCCCCCGCCGCCTCCCGCAGGTCGTCAGCTCGCAGGCGCATTGTCTGCCGGTGAGCTTGGGGGGAACACCTTGCCCGAGGAGGCTGGCCCCTGCGGGAGTCCACGAGCCGGCGTTCCAGCTGCTGCCCCGCAGAGCTCCCGCAGACGCGAGGCCGCCTCGAATGGCGACGGTGGCGCCGCGGCAGCAGCGGCCTCAGCGCTGTCGACAGGTGCTGCGTCGCCGACGCCCAGCGCGAAGGCCGCCGCGGCGCCCGCCTCCGCTGCCCACCCCGCGCGGCCTCGATCGCGAGGCTCGATGCGGAACCTTGCGTCGGGCCGCGCCCAGGAGCGCATGGCAGGAGTGGCGCGCTCGCTGCCAGCCTCAGTCGGCGGTGGCACTGCCGGCAGCAGGGGCGCCTCCGTGCGCTCCCCAGCTGGAGGAGACGACATGTTTAGGATCAGGCAGCTGGAGCAGCAGCTCAACTTCGGGCACTTGCTGGAAGGGCTGAAGCTCGTTGACAGGGGGCGCGCCCTGCGTCGCTTCAAGCCGATGATTCTGGACGCGAAGAACCGGAAGCATGACCTCCTGGAACTCATCGACAAGGCTACCAGGATGTGCGTCGCGAGCCCTCACCAGGTCAAGGACCAGCAGGTGAGCTCGAGGCGCCTCCGCGCGCTTGTCAAGACTGGCATCGACCTCCACGACTGCCCGAGGTGGTACTTGGCGTGGCTGAGGAATTCCCTCGAGAATGACCCCAGCGACGCGGGCAGTCTCTGGGAGACTATGAACCTTTACATCGACGATGGGGCTTCCAGGGTCCTTGGCCCTTTGCACCAAAGCTGTCTTGCGTTAGCACGCCGGTAGAAGACAACCAGGGCCAGGCGAGGGACGACGTGCTGAACGGCATCATCTTGCCCATGATCGAGATGGGCCACAGTGCGGTGCCGCAGATAGCAAGTTGAGGGCGCTTCTAGTCAACGGGCTCATCTGCGCAGCAGGAGTCAACAGGGGCATGGTCGACTTTAACGAGGCAGCAGCAGCCTTGTTGCGTGCGACTATTCTGGATGCGCTCGGATACCACTCCTTGGGGGCAGTGACCTGCATCGGAGTTGATATGGCAGACTTCCGCAATATGCTTCATAGCGAGTTGGACAATGGGTGGGCGTCCTTCGACTGCGAGATGGGCGAGGTCGCGTTTTGGCTGGCGAGCGAGAACTAGTGGAGGCGCGCTGCGCAGGCCGACATGAAGGAGGCCCCTCTCATGAAGGAGCGGCTGGGGGCTTTCGAGAAGCATCCGAGTGCCCTGATGCTCAAGGCTACCATCGATGACCTCGGACGCTGGTTCGCGGGGTGCAGGAGTGGCGCCGCCGCCCCAATTGTGAGGGCCTTCGTTGAGACAGCCGAGCAGATCGCCGAGAGCGCACCGCCTCGCCGGAGCGCATCGAAGGCCATTGGCGACGAGCGCGCACCGCCTCGCGGAGACCCCATCGAGACGATGGTCGAGCTTGCTCGCCCCTATGCAATGTTCACCAAGAAGTATGCCCCGAAGGAAGTGGCCGACCTTTTCGAAGAGGAGCGTTCGACGGTGACTGAGGGCGTCCAGGGTTTGGTGGAGAAGGCATCCCCGACATGCGCATGTAACGCGATTCCGAGGGTGCCGAAAGCGTTTGGGAACAGCGAGGACGAGGGCAAAGCTGCGAATGATATCAGACAGGTTCTGATCCAGAACGTCAGGGTGAAGTTCTCTACCGCGGAGCACTGCGACGAGATCTTCACGGCGGTCGGGGGGGTCGCGAACCGCTACTTCCTGAATTGCAAGCCCGCCTCGGATGAGAACATGATGGAGTTTGACCTGATCAACTTCGGCGCGCGCGTGGAGCTCGTCTGTGAGCTCTGCGACCTAGCGGGCCCTGCGGATGAGGCTCAGCGCTTCCACTCCTTGCAGGGGCGTCTGGCCTTCTTGAGCTCGATCGCAGAGGCGGTCGATTCGTGCGGCGTCATGTCCCGCGTGGGCGGCGCGGCTGAGCAGGTCGCGAACGACGACGGCCATGGCTTCTATCAGTACTTGGCCATGGCCAGCGCCACCAGCAGAGCCCGCGCGGCCACGTGCCATGGGCTGGGCGCGCGCGAGAGAGGGACCACGGCAGATGACCTTTGAGGCGAACGTGGTGTTCGCGATCCAGAAGGTGGGTGATGCGATCCGTAAGTATCAGACGGCTGACGTGGAGCAGGGCCACATCGAGTTGAAGAAAGAGTACGCCAGCTTGGTTTCTCGCCTTCTTCGGTGACGAGGAGGTTTGTTGGAAGCGCGGCCTCTCGGACGCTTTGGGCATCGACGATTTCCGCGTACAGGCGAGGAGGACCGCCTTCTCGACGAAAAGCCTGGCCGCGAAGACGCTGGAGGCGATGGGCGACGCCGAGAAGTGCAAGAAGAACTTGAATGACACGGTAGCGTCGTGCAAGATTGACCTGCCGCCTATCCGGCAGGCGACGGTCGACAAGGTTATCGAGGGGATTCTTTTGGCTACTTTGACGAGGTTCGAGGCAGGCGCCATGCAGCATTTATCGACGAGAAGCAGAGCAGTCCTGGCAAGACGGAGGTGGGGATTCTCCCCGAGGTGGGGGTCTGCTTGACGGACTTCCACGTGCCGGTGCAGAAAACATCAGCGAGCTGATGCGATCGTGAGGGCCGAGGCTCGGTGAAACTGGAGGCGCGAGGAATGGCGGTAGCCATGGCCTGGGGGCAAGTGACCTGCAGGAGCGTGCGCGTGAACGCGTTGATGCATGTGTTTTTTTCTAAGAGCGGTGCTGGTCGCAGTAGCGCTGTTCAGGATTTGGAAAACATGAAAATTGGCGCTGGCTCTTCAACTTTCGATCTGTTGTCTTTGGCAATCTCGTATACAAGCTGGTGCCTTTCCGCCTGCCTCGCTTTGGGCCTGCTTGAACGCGGGATGGTGCGGACCTTCCTGGACCCTTTGTCGGTAATAGCCTTGGAATGCTTATCGGGCTCCTGTCCCCCCCCCAGAGGCCTCCAGAGGTGATGGGGGCGTGAGGCTCGTAAGATGCATCCACGGGCGTTCCCAAAGAGCTCACATATAAAGGTTCTTGCTGTAGCTTCCGCTGATGGCTCATAGGATGTCGCTTTCAGAATCCATTTGGCCCCCCCTGGTCCCCAGAGGGCCCCGAGAGATCCAGAGAGGGCTCCAGTCCCTATGCGTTTAGGCTCTCCTGAGTGCTTCAGGCCCCCCCCCCCCGGGATATTACGTGGCGACCTCTTCGTGACACGTTGTATTTTGGTAGTTTTCGAGGCACCCTTGAAGCCCTTAAAGGGGGTCTCCGTGGGTCGCCTGTTTCGTGGTGGCGGTATCTTTGATGGTAATGGGTGGCGGGCTCGCGGCGGGAGAATATCTGAAGACCTTGCATCCTCTCCTCCTGTTCCTCCGCCTCCTCCCCCGTATTTTGTCTCATGACATCTCTTTAGGAGTTCAGACGTGTCGATGGGGCCTCGTGAGGCCAGAGATGGAACCCGTCAAAACCCCATGCGAGATTTTCATCAAAAGCCATGGCGCCAACACAAGGCCCATAGCCCCATAATGGGCATCTTAACTATAGTTTTATTCCCGTATAGCCTCATAGCATTAAAGCCCTAGAGCCGTATAGCCTCGTAGCCCTATAGCCCCATAGCCCTAACGCCCAACTTGCCCGATAACCCTACAGCCCACTATAGCCCTAATAGCTCTATATCCTTACAGCCTTATAGCCCTGTAACCCTATAGCCCCATAGCCCTATAGCCCTATAGCCCTGTAGCCCTATAGCCCTATAGCCCTATAGCCCTATAGTCCTATAGCCCTATAGCCCTATAGCCCTATAGTCCTATAGCCCTACAGCCCTATAGCCCTATAACCCTGTAGTAGCCCTGTAGCCGTATAGCCCTATAACCCTCTAGCCCTCTAGCCTTAGAGCCCTATAGCCCCATAGCCCTACAGTCCCAAACCAATTCGGATTGGTTTTGTTCTGGTATCATATAGACTTAGAATTTAGGGTATGATGTTTCCTCTCAATTGGGGGAGGCCGTGTGGGAGGGAGAGGCAGCAGATGGGAGGGGATGTGGATGAGGGGGATGGTGGTTGGAGGTCAGTCTGAGGGGGGCGAAAGGAGATCGGAGGGGGCGGGAAGACGGGATAGGACGGGGGACAGGGGGAGGGGGGAGAATCAAGCTAGGTGCGCTCGCGTCATATCTGACGTCCTACCCCTCCCTCCCATCCCTTACCATGGCGCTGATTTTCTCTATCCGCGGACGCGTGTCGTAGCGGACTTGTGGCTCGCGCGCGTGCGTAGTGGGTGGTGGTGCGCGTGCGTGCGTGCGTGCGTGCGTGCGTGCGTGGTGGTGGTGGTGGTGGTGGTGGTGGTGTGGTGGTGGTGGTGATGGTGGTGCTGGTGGTGGTGGTGGTGGTGCTGGTGGTGGTTGTGGTGGTGGTGGTGGTGGTGCGGCGCGGTGGTGGCGGGCGGATGGGCGCGCGAGAAAGAGGCCCGCGCTGGGGCGAGAACGCCATCCTGAACGACGGAGGCCAAACACCGATCCGAAAATGAGGCCCACGCTGCAGCGGGAGCACGATTCGGAACGATTCGGGAGCAGAAATGAGGCCGGCGCCTCAGCGAGAGCAGCATTTTGAAAAAAAAACACAAGCGAAAACCCGTTTCAAAAATACGCGGGGGGGTGTCGGATATCTTCGGGACGCCATCAGGGGAAGTGGGAGAGTATTTTCATATTGTGTAATTGTGGAGAGCGGATGGGAGGCAGGCGGGAAGGAAAGGAGAGACAGAAGATCGGCGAGAGAGCATACGGTAGCCGGTGTCTAAGTTACACGCACGACGACGAGCGAATTACAACGAACTGGCTCCATGCCCTTCGTATTATGACTGTCTGAGAATGATTGGGGCCCAGAGCTGCGCGTTCTAGGGCTGCGAGCAAATGAGGAGAAGGGACAGAGAGGAGATGCCATAACAGGGAGTGGAGAGAGGAGAAGAGAGCGGAGGTGAGCGCAGGGGGAGGCGAGGCGAGGGAACACGGTCGCTTCTCCACTCCGCTCCCCGAATTTCGGCATCTACCGCTCCAACGACTTCGACCCCGAGAAGCCCATGACAGTGGCGTTTTGCAGGAGACCACGGCTGGGGGGCGCTCGCAAGCTTCGGCAGTTTCGTCGGCCTTTCTGGGGTTCTCATCGTCATTTCCCTCCCTCCCTCCCTCTCTCCCTCCTCTCACTCTCTTTCTCCCTCTCTCCTCCCTGCTCCCTTTTCCCTCTTACCCCCATGCCTTCTACCTCGATTGTCTCTCCTGTCCTCTATCTTTCATCCCTCCCCCTCCTCCCTCCTCTCCTCCTTCCTTCCCTCCCCCTTCTCCTCCCTCCTTCCCTTTCTCCCCTTCCCCTCTTCCTGGTCTCACTCGTCCCTGCTCTGAATTCTACGGGCCTACGGAAGACCCACAGTCCAGACTATGGTGGTCGTGCTGGTGGCACAGACAGAGATGGAGCAATGCAGAACCACTCGAAGGGGCAGCAGAAGAGGCAGGATATGAAAATGTGGACACACACATATTGATTCATGGAGAGAGAGAGAGAGAGAGAGAGAGATAAAGCGAAACACACATATATATATATAGAGAGAGAGATAGATAGAGAGAGAGAGAGAGAGAGAGAGAGAGGGAAAGAGAGAGAGAGAGAAAGACATAGAGACTTCGAGAGCGATATCTCTCTCTCTCTCTCTGTATCCCTATTCACATATCGTGCTGGCCTCCGGCCAGTGCCGCCGATCCTGGGCGCTTCGGATAATGATGATGATGGTGATGTTGATGATGCTGCTGCTGATGATGATGATGATGATGATGATGATGATGATGTTGTTGTTTATCATGGCAATGGACATGGTGAAGAGCATGAATATGGTGATGACGACGACGCGAATCAGGATTGTGATGCTGGTGATGGTGATGGTGGTTGTGATGATGATAGCGGTGTGCCCACAATGATGCTGATAATACTGATGACGTTTGTGTTGATGTTGATGATGCGAATTTTCAGGGTACTAAGGATAATGCAGTTGGTGAGGACGGCGATGGGATGATGATGATGTTGATGCTGCTGCTGCTGATGATGATGATGATGACGATGATGACGTTGCTGCTGTTGATGATGCTACTGATGATGACGGTAACCATGGTGATGGTGGTGGGGATGTTGATGACGACGGTTATGATGAATCTGATGAAGAGGAAGATATCGGCAATCATATTCTGCGTCTTCCGTCTCCACATCTTGTGGAGCTCATAAAGGGGCCGACATGGGGCTGTTTTTTGCCTGTGAGGACGGAGGCAGAGGATTGAGGAGGGAGGACGAGGGAGGAGGGAGGAAGGAGGAGGCAAGAGGTAGGGGGCAGGTGGGAGGAGGGAGGGAGGAGGGAGAAAGGAGGGGAGGAGGTGAGGGAGGGAGGGATGAAGGAGGACGGAGAGGTGAAGGAGGAGGATAAGCAGAGAGGAAGGAACACAAGGAGGGATGAGGAGGAGGAGGAGGAGGAGGAGGAGGAGGAGGAGGAGGAGGAGGCGGAGGAGGAGGAGGAGGAGGAGGAGGAGGAGGAGGAGGAGGAGGAGGAGGAGAGGAGGGAGGAGGAGGAGGAGGAGGGAGGAGGAGGAGGAGGAGGAGGAGGAGGAGAGGAGGAGGAGGAGGAGGAGGAGGAGGAGGAGGAGGAGCAGGAGGAGGAGGAGGAGGGAGGAGGAGGAGGAGGAGGAGGAGGGAGGAGGAGGAGGAGGAGGAGGAAGCGCCCTCTTGGGCCATTTTGGGGTCGTCTTGGGAGCCTCTTGAGCCGTCTTGACGCGGTCTCGGGGCCTCTGGGACCGTCGGAAGCGAAGCCCCCCCGCCCCCGAGCACTGCATGGCGCCAGGAATGGCGTCCCCCCCCTTGCAGAGCGAACCCTCCCCCCCCCAGCTCCCGAGCACTGGCGTCGGGAATGGCGTCCCCCCCTCCCCCTCCCTTGCAGAGCGAAAATTCCCCCCGGTTCCCGAGCACTCGTCCACCCCCCCT